ACACTTGGGTCAACTCAAATTAAGCAAATCTGCCAAACCAACTTAATAACTTTTAAATATTTTTTTCATTTTTGAAATAATAAAATTATAATAAACACCAAGCGTACAATTATTTAAAATGTGTATACATTTTTTGGGACATCCTGCATTTTCAGCTAAATTAAACTGGCTCCAATTCTCCATTTGCATTTTTATGCTACCACGGAAAAAGATAACATGTTCAGATTTTCGTCCATTGAATATCTACTGAAAATGCTTCTTAATGAGTTAACCTATTATATAAAGTTCTTTTTTAAATTGGTCTTAGACATCTAAATACCAGATTTCTGTTGGGGACATTCTTTTTACTCGACATTGGGTTTTGGTGTTTCGGGGAATTCATAAAAATAGTCCATATAGCACTAACATCCAAAAGGTCAATTTTTGGTAAATGCTCTTAAGAAATATCATATTTGAAAGGTAATGATAAACATGTCGGACAGAGTCCAACTTTGTGGACGAAGTCCTGAAAACACCTCAAATCGTGGAAACTGTCAGAAAGTAAAGGACCACCTGAAACTACTTGTAATCCAATACCTGAAATATCTTTAAATAAATTTGACGAAAGTTTCTTTTAATATAAAAAATGACATGGATATGGTTTCACCTCACTATTATATTTACACTTATTGATCTAATTTACAGCTATTTTTTACGTCTGCGGAACTTACGTATGTTTTAAAAACTTTTATTTTTCCAAGCAAACAATTAGTAATTTTTATCTTCCTTTTAAGCAAAGAATTCACTCAATATTTTTTATTAGCATCTCAAAGTTTTCGTACATGCTTCAATACCCGTTTTCAAGTGATTATCAATCTTTCGCAAATTCGGGTCTATACTTTAAGTTGGCCTTCTTAATCAACAATGCACGTCAAAATTTTGATTAAAACTACATAAAGTCGGTCAGGGGCTGTAATTGCCGCAATCTGGGAAGAATTTCTCGGTAGTCCATGCCGAACCCTCTTTCCGATCTGACATGCATTTGAGAATTGCCATCACTGCAAATATTGCACCTGATACTTAAGGCGGAGTTGACAATAACCTACAACTACTCCTCAGTGGATTTGTTCAGGAATTAATTCAAGGTTACCCTCTTTGTAAGTAGTTCTCAATTCTCTTCTATTTTGAGTTAGCCTGGTTTATTCTGTATTCACGTTATCAGCAGAAGAATTTCTCGTTTTCTGCCTAATATTAGCTAAAGTGTTTATACGAGACACAGAGAATGACCCTCTGATTATCTTCAGCTTGGAAAATATCACCGACCGGGCAGCCTGAAGTGGCAGTCTCTGGTTTATTAGCCATCATCAGCCAGCCATAGACAA